GCCTCCATAATCCGAGCAAATAAAAATGCTGTTTTCAAATGATGACTATTTTTCTTTAAGGGAAAAAGCTCAACAATATAGCTTCTCTCTCCTATGTCTCCATCTAATTATTGTGTCTTGGACCTTAGCTTTGTTACCATTGGCAACAAAAACCCACATCAAGCATGTTCTTTATTGTTGTTCTTGTTGCTTCTGGAGCCGTTCAGAGGAGGACCTTTGATATGCTGATGATCATTGTCCTGCTGCTGCACCAAAGTGAGCTGAAGGTCACAGACTGATCTGCTCTAAGATAAAGAGCCAATGCGCTGCAACCTAGAAGAGAGTTGTGTGTAAGATATGTTTTTATTTAAACTATGGTTTAAAATGGCATAAAGTACAGCATTTGAACCGAATCTTTGCTTTTTGAGACAATTTGCAGGTCAGGTAGATGTTTCCTGGAGACACTGGGTTGCTAGTTTACTTCACCAAACTAGCTTTTTCTACCACATTACATCTGTGTCCTCAATAAGGTCGTAAATTTGCTGACTGAACCTCATCTTGCTTTACTGCTATAAAAAAAAGAATCAATGATTTAGTAAAAAAAACAACCTGCAGGGCCTGAGGGAGCATATAAATAACAGTGGGGGCTAGCAACTGAGCTTCCCATTACAAAGCATAATAGGATACAGCTGAGCAGTAAATTACACATGTTGTTCCTCTGATGCTTCTTGTTTGTAGATCTCAGTCAGCTGGAGGACAAAATGGGTGACAAATGAAATACTTTTTATATTTTCAAGTCTGTTTCCATAAAAGTAATTGGCTCTGCATTAAATATTTAAAGGTTGTTGCTCGTGTGTTACATCTACATCAGTTTTTAGGGCTTTAATGCAACCCTCTGCTGCAGTAAAACATGATCAGTTGCTTTAGGATCAGGTGTCAAACTTGGACAGGTAGGAGTTATTGCTCCACTGTATGGTCAGTGAGTTCTGCATAGTGATGTAGTGAAGATGGGAACCCTCCATTCATTCATTCTTTAGATGATTGCCTCTATGTAAAGGTTGTGGTAGCAACAGAGGCGCATGGTAACCTAGGACCTCCCAGTCTCCAGCTATTTAACCTCCTAAATGTTCAAACTGAATGATCCGTAAAGGGACAAACAACCACATCAGTCTAATTATACTTCTGGGCTGCCTGGTGCTAAAGTTTGGGAAAATACCAACTGAGGCCATAAAAGCTCTAACACAATATATATGCTCTATTAACAGAAGCGTGGAGATTTCCTCTTCTTTCCTGTTTTTTTTTTAAATCACACCTTAATGTTTCTGATTAAAGTTATTTAAAATTGAAAAGACAACTTTAGTAAACACATTAACCTGATTTTCGATAGGCATCAACCATAGACTTTGCATGTAAACGTGCTGCTTGTGCTGCTGGATGCGTGTGCAGTGTGAATGCAGCTTCAGACAATAACAGGCTTCATTTATAACCAGAGACTACAGGAGACACTTCCTGTCTACAGCTATTCAAATTTACAATAACGCACAAACAAAACCTTTAAATAAGTTTCATTTTCCATTCGTGATCAAAAATGAGTGGTGTGCAAGGAAAAAACCTGTAATTATAGGTACTCTGTGGGATGGAAGAATGAGCAAGTTCTGCAATGAAGAGTTCATGATGCTTTAGAGGAAAGTTTAAAAGATCAGTTGAGACTTTATGTCTGTTGTCTTGGAAGGAGACAATGATACTACAGCGTATAAAAGGCATTTAACACATGAGGATTATGCTCCTTTAACCAGGGGTGGCCCTAATGTAAGAGTAATTTTACATTAAAGGAATAGTACACCCAAAACATGATTAGCCTTCATTTTCTACTC